TATCACCGTCTCCACTGTCTATTTCCACTGTGTGGACCGGTGCCGAGAGCACTGCAGTGAAGGGGTGATCCGTCTTCCACAGAGACGCTGGCCATTCTGATTGCCTGATGCAGCTGGGGCCCGAGCCAAGGAGAGCTGCCCTGCAAAACCTGCCACCTCCTCAGCTGAGAGCTGCCCACTGGGGTGGGTCACGCTTAGCCCATTCTGAAGCACAGCACGAGGTCTCATTCCGGTCGCTGCCAAAGATGGCAGAGGTTTGCCTGTCCGCTGCTGCAGCAGGAGCCGGGTCAGGCCCCAGTGCAGCGAGCGAGAGCAGCAGCCAAAGTTCTCAGCCCACAGCCACGCCGCGGGCAGACGACTCTTGTGGGGGCGAGCGTGAGGGAAGGGACAGCCCACGGTGGCAGCACCCTGAGGGACAGGGGCAAGGGAGCAGCGTGGGGGCACAGGCGGGCCACTGGGAAGAGCAGCTCTGCGTGTGGACGGTGGCCAGCAGTGAGCTGTTGTCTTTGCAAAGCTTCCTCCAAATACTCCGTACTGGGACCAAGTACTAGACGTAGATTTTAATAGATTTGAGGTTTTTTGGTTGGTTTTTTTTTTTCCTCCTTACTATGGTGCTGATGTATATGTAATATTAAAAAAAAAAAAAAAAAAGTTATTTGTAAATATGTTTTTACAATTCTACAGATATCACTGGGTCTACTATCTGTAAAATATATACATATAAAAATATATATATATACTGTTTGTTTAAAATAGAGTATTTTTATTTCATTCCTTAACTCATCCTTACTGCAGTGGTATTGCACTTCAGATGATGTCTGATTACTAATTTGTACTGTATCTCTGATGGCAACTTGCTCCATTTTATTCAGATTTTTCTAGTTTTCTGTTTTTACTTTGTACATTAAGCATTGCTTATTTCCTTTTAAGACCTGTACAGAGCTCTGAAAATGTAGAAAAAAGCTGATGTTAACATACCACTTTTAAAGAAAAAAAGAAAAGAAAAAAAAAAAAACACCAAGCAAACGAATAAAATAAAAGATGGTTATCTGAGTCATATGCAAGGCTGGTCTGTGAGATCACCTCTCAGCCCTCTGCTCCTGCGGCGCTCCCGTGACGCTGCCCCAGATGTCGGTTACCAGGCGGGCAGCAAGCACAGGTGAGTGCAGTGAGCTGCTGGGGGCCGGCAGCTCAGCTGTGTGCTATGGCTCTGAGGCCCTTCTGTCCCTTTCATAAGAGCAAGGAAGGCTCTCGTTACTTCTAGGTGTTGTGAGACAAGGTTTCTTGTACTCTGTACTGGAGCGGTTGCTACAGGTGAGCTGGTCCTTCATTATGCCACCGCCAGAGGCAGCATCTCTCGGTCTCTGTGACTGCTGCGTGCAGGAAGGAAATGCTTTTGGGGAGGACACGGGGTGAAAGGTGTTGGAGTGCTGCAGCTATTCTCTGGAGAGGAGAAATGGGAGGGGAGGAGAGAGACGTGGGGTTGGATGTAGGAGGTAGAAAGATGAGTTGGGGAAGCGAGGGAAAGGCGTGTTCACAGCAGCTCCCCAACCCGCTGCTCCACTGTGAGGTTTTGTGGTCAGAAACCCTTTGGTAAGTGCATACGGGCTTGTTGTATTTACGTGACCTGTGTAAGACAAGCATGTTGTGCAGCTTTCAAGGCTTGGCACGTCTCTCTCCTGTTCCCCCCCTCTGCGGAGTCGTAGTGAAGCACACACTGGGTGCTTCAAGCTTACAGTGCAGCTTACAGAAGCCCTGTGTGTTTGAGCTGCCGGTGTGGCTTGGTCCAAGTACAGACCTTAAGGTGAGTTGCCCTCTTCTCCTCATGTCAGTCCGGTGCTATGGTAAATGCAGCTCTGAGCAGCTGAGGCCGCGTGTATCCCACACTATTACAGCTTGTGCTACTATGTGGCACTTGGCAGCCTTACATCCGCCTTTTTTGGCACATGTATCTGTCCCTGTGTTGCCTCTTCCTTCCCCTGGGGTAGATGGGGCAGGGGTAGCTATCCATAAGCATGCCAGTGCATTTCAACAGGTGAGCTTAGAACAGAATAATTTCAGAAGCAAGGACCTACATGAACACTACTAGCAGCCTTTGGGTTTCCTCTATTACGTGTTTCAAGCCTGATGTGTGATTGAGACACCTGCCTTCTTTTCCTTGCTGCCCGCGACTGCCTCAAGGCGTCACTGGCAGGTAGATTTGCTGTCCTTTTGCCTGTCAGAGGGAAGCTGTGGAAGAATTCCCAGTGACTTCTGTGGCTGTTGTCTCTGTTCTGTTTTTTCCCTGGAACCACGTGCCAGAGAATTGCCTTTTCTACCTCTGTGTCAGCTCTCGCCTGCTCACCCCCGTGATCTGTCCTCTGAGCTCAGCAGCTGCTATTGCCCTCAAGTCCCACCCCCGTGTACACACTTCATTTTATTATTTCAACTGCCCCATCCCCTGTCACCACTTGCAGCCACTAAGGTATGCCTTTAAGTCACGTTACAGCATCTGGGAGGGCCGAATTTCTGCACATGCACTGCGTCCCCCTTTTTGTGTGAAAGGTGCCGATGAACCCAAGCCAATGCTCGCTAGTACTCAGGTTGCCAACCCAAGTGGACTTCTAGGAAGACAGTAAGTGTTTATTACGTAGACTTGACTGAGCAGAACTATCAACATGCAGTTTGGCCGAACTGTGCACCAGGCACAGCAGAGAGAGCTTCTGCCTGCTGGCTCTAGCATGAATGCATCCAGCATTGCAGAAGTCCTTTGAATTATCACGATCTACCAAAACAGTCAGTCATGGTCTTCACTTCTCTGTAGTTCCAGAGCATTGGAGCGGCCCGTCGTGCAGGATGGCTGCTGCTGCCGGGAGTGAAGAAGAGTGAAGGAAGGCTTCAGAGGCATCGACAAAGCCAGAGGATGCTGGGTAAGGCAGGCTGTTGCTTGCAGTGTCAGTTGGAGCCGAGTTACTTGGTGAATTAATGGGTTTTGGGTTTTTGCGATTTGTTTTGAGTTTGCAATACTGCATAGGAAGACAGACCGTGTGAATAGAGAACGCCAATGCGATGCACCATTCTGTCCTGGTAAATTCATTTCAGGAGCACAGGGAAAGGAGCAAGTGTAAACAGCTCAGAAAAAGCACAACGTTTAATGTTGCAGTGGAATGCTAATGGAGAATTCTGATCCCTTATTTACATACAGCTTATCATCATCTTGGTGTCCAGGGAGAGCTTGTGGGTTTTATTTACTTGGGGCTTTTATTTTGTTATTTATTTGTTATTTATTTTGTTTATTTTATTTTTGAAGTACTCAGAACAATTTATGTAATTTCTTCCCAATGTTGAAGCCCAGGTATTCGTCCGTAAAGCTGTTAACGATCCCAGCTGCACCAAGGATTGCCAAGCAAGCCAGAACTATCAGACTCAAAAAAAACCCCGTTAACCTAGAAGTAGGAAGCAGAAAAAAAGCTGTTACGAGCTGTACACGGTGTGTTTGCAGTGAAACCAGCTGCCTGTCTACCTCAGTTAAGAGGAGCCGTGCTCGGTGGAAAGGATCACTGTCGGAACAGCAGCTCGGGTGTTTCGGCAGTAGAACCGTTCCCGCATGTAACGTGTGCTAGGGAAGAAAGTGATTCCTAATGGCCTCTCTAGAGGAACGCACTTCCCCCAGTGTTCCTTGATACTTATGTGAAGTTGAGAACTTTTTCTGATATGAACTACTTCATCCCAAGGAGGCATCTTTGTCAGATTCTCTCTGCTGAGCTGGGAGGTCTGCTTTTGGTTATTACTTTGACTTGAAGAGAGTCCCGTGTTACCGGACTGAAAAGGAACAATATATTCCTAAAACTCACCTATCAGGGCACTCATTCGTGCTGGGAGAGGATCAGAATTCTTTTTTCAAAAATAATGTTATTAAGCATGGACAGCACATCAAGGGAGGTGAATTTCCATCTCTTTGCCCTTATGAGACTCCATCTAGTGTATAGTTGGCATGCGGGGATGGTGAGGTGCTGAAACAGGCTGCCCAGAGAAGCTGGGTGCGCCCCATCTCTGGAGATGCTGAAGGCCGAGTTGGATGGCGTCCTGGGCAGCCTGATTTGGGGGTGGCAGCCCTGCCCATGGAAGGGGTTTGAAGCTGGATGGGCTTTGAGGTCATAGAATCACAGAATGGCCTGGGATGGAAGGGACCCCAGGGATCATCAAGTTCCAACACCCCTCATTGAGTACCGCAGCCTTTTCCGTATCTGTCATAGCCAGTTCTCCTTTCTCATTTACCAAAGGAGATAAGCTCTCTTTCGCCTGCCTGATCTGGCCATCGTATCTATAGAATCCCTTTCTTGCTGTTTTTAACGTATCTCACCAGCTTCAGTTTCATCCGCACCGTGGCTTTCCTAATCCCCTCTCCGCAGGTCCAGACAGCATCCCTGTATCTTCCCCAGGTGACATGCCCTGGTTTCCACAGCTGGTACGGTCTCTTACAGCAGGTCCCTGCCAAGCCATGTGGGCTTGCTGCCTCCCCTGACTGCTGTCTTACTGTGGGGGATGGAGAACTTCTGCACTCTCAGAAAGGCATCTTTAAAGAGCGGCCAGCTTTCTTTCACTCCTTTGTCTCTAAGGACAGCTTCCCAGGAGATCTCATACAACAGTTCCTTAAGCAGCCTGAATTTTGCTCTCCCAAAGTTCAGGGTCCTGACCTGACCTTTGCCAGACCCACGCACGTTCCTTGAGATCCCTCCCAACCCGAGCCATTCTGTGATTTTAAAGTAGAAATCTCAGGGAGTGCTTGGAGAGCTCTTCAGCCCTGAAGCACAGCGTGTGGCTGGCACACAATAACAGCATGCACTCTTCTTTGCTCTTGGCTGCCTTGGAGCGGACTCTGGTCAGGTAGGCAGATAGTGGGAGTTGCTGCAGGATTGATTTCTGCTGGCAGAGCGAGTGAGGACAGGCCGTTGCATAAGCACTGGAAAGATATCTGAGGAGCTTGCTGGACTTGGGTTTATAGTCCATTATTGCCCATGCCTACGGAAGTGCAATGGTTGGGTATTCAGCAGCTGGCTGTGGAGCCTGAGAACCTCACTGGTGCCTAGAGGCTTGATACATACAGCCTCCCCATATGGGGTGTGCAAAACAAGGGTTTAAAAACGGTGAGTGTAAGACCTCCTCAGTTTCAGGTGCATGAGGGGATAAGGCTCTGTCTGATAACGAAGCAAGCTGCTATCCTTGGGCGTCCTTGTAAGGGTGATTTTTTAAGCCCGGAGTGCTGAAGTAAAGCATGGGAAAGATTTGTTTCTGGTTTTTTTTTGTTTGTTTGTTTTTTAGTTTGTTGAATGAAAGTGTGCTGTGCTCTCCTTGTTCATTTGTTTCGAAGGCTCTGCTCCCTAGACTTCCTTAATAGTCACCAGTCTTCCGGTCAGTGCTCTCTGTATCGTTTGGGCCACTGCATCTCTTAGTGGGAGCCCTGGGTCAGGAAACAGCAGGTAGTGCTGTGCCTTCAGCAAAACGAGAAGCGGCGTGTTGGAGTGTGCCTGCACACCAGAGGGGTGTTGTGCTGATGCGTGTGTTTGTTGTAGCAGGATTCATGTCGCTACATGCAATGCATTTACATTCATTAACATACGCTTATCTGAAGCTGTGCCTCTTATCTATTTGGTCAAAGTTTATCAGCCTACAAGGACAGATGCGTTTGCTTCTGCGAGTGCACTTTGTATGGGTAAAGGTTCTTGTTGTGATAAGCTGAGGAAAAATGAAGCAGCAGACAAGCTGGTGCTGTGTGTGCCTTGCCTCCTTCGCAAGAAGCTGCAGAGCTGCTTCTGCCTTCGGCCCTCTGAGTGCGGTTGCCTGTCCGCTCCGCACAAAGCAGGCTCCTGTGAGGTGGGCGTCAAACCTTTCCTCCCATCACCTGCAGCGCGTGCACACCTTACCCCAAGGCTCCCCTGTCACAGCCAGCCCTCCTTCCCCAGGACCTTTGCTTCAGCTCTCTTGCTGGCACGCTGTACACGTTGCACTCAATTGCAGTGACGTCTCGCTGCTAGGCCTTGGCTCCCAGCCCAGCTCAGGCTACAGCTGGGGTCTGTAACCTGCACGCAGCTCCTTACCTTTTTGACGCAGACTCCGCATAGCCGTGGAAGTACTTGTGGCGAGCGTACATGTACAGCAGGCCCAGCAAGGAGGCTAGTTCTAAGAAACAAGTAATGGGAAACGTGAGGACAGTTGCAGACAGTCGTTTTAGTTATCTGGGGGCTGTCCCAGGAACTGGGCAGTGGGCTGCAGCACTTCGGCTTGACCCAGCTGTCACTTGGTATCATTACGGCAGTTTGTGTTCAAGGGCAATGTTTGTTTTAGGAAAGAGAATCTTATTTATGTTGTTAGTAACCTGCTTTGCATTTATATAGCAGCTTTTATCCAAGGACAGGAGAGAAAGCTGTAGTGCACGTCAACTTTCCGATCTCCCTGTGGGAAAAGCATGAAGATAATTCTGATGGATGGAGCAGGCTGTGCGGCCACTTGCGTTGCCCAGCACTAAGCAGTGCCAGTGAATTTGGTGTCCTTTCCAACCGCACAAATATTAGGGAGGACAGCTTTTTCTCTGCTCTGGATTAATTCCTGCATACACGCCTGTGGGAGTTGCTGTAAAAGTGACTTAAAGTGGAGTTAAAGTAGTTCTCCCCTTATATATGACAGCATGCATCTTCCCTGACTCAAGTATCTGCTTAGGAGCACACGTACCATCTCACATCCAGCAGCAGTGGAGCTGCTCCGGATTTATCTCAGTGTAATAGAGATGGGAATCTGTCTGTAAGGGAGCCCCAAAATGAAATGTTTGTTTTTTGGTTTTTGGTTTTTTTTTTTTTTAATGCCAAAATGCCAGCCTGCGTAGGTATGTGAGAAACACCACAGATTTTAACAAGTCTGCCCACATACCTGAGGGACAGTAACCATGTGTGGCTGGAGATGTTGTGTGCTGACTGCTCTTCGGTGCTTAGCGCCATGTCCCCGAATGAACAAGGGACCATGGCTGTGTTTGATGTCCTGTGAGAACTGCCCTATAATGCGCACGTAATTGTTAGTGGGAAACATCTGGGAGTTGCCTTTTCTGAACGATTCGCCCGGAAAATCCTCACTGGGTTTTCTGCGAATGAGGAATGTGCCATGTCGCGGCTCTGTGATTTGCAAGGAAAGCGAAAGCTGGTGGGGCTGTGTGAAATGCCGCGACTGTTTTGTCATGGCACTTCACTGCAGAGCCATCGAGACTTCCTTCAGGATGACTAGGGTAAGGCAACGCAATGAAGGGAAGGCAAAAGGAGGTCTGCATAATTCTACCTCCCAATAAAGCTGATTTTTACGTCTTTGCAGTCCAATAGGTAGCAAGAATTCCTTACCTTGATTGCAAAACCATCCTGCGATCCAGAGGAGAGTCTGGAATATGGGGTAAAACTCTGCACAGTTTTGTCTGTGGGATAAATTTGACATGAAGTTATTCTGGAAAGGGAAAGGACCATGGGTGAGAGAGATTTTTTTAAGGAGAATCAGCTTTGGCCTCACTTTGTGCCCACCAAAGTTAATGCTCTTGAATTCAGCGGGAGCATGCTCAAGCCAGCCTTAGGTGCTCTTAAACATTCCCTTCTTGTAATCTCAGTATAAATACAATCGATTTCAAATGTCTCCTCGTATTTAAGGTTTTGTATCCCACCTACAAGGAAGTGCTTAACCATTATCTTAACTCAAGGGAGCAGTACAGCAGGAGCAGGCAGGAGTTCAAGCACAAAGATATGGCGTTGACTGCTTATCTGCCTGCTCAGCGAGCGCGTTTTGTGCGTCAGCAGGACTTCAGCCAGATGCTTCAGGACTGCAGGAGGAGGCACAGAGCCACATGCAGGCAGTCCAGGTTGCTCCGCTGAGGCCAAGTGCCTTTACAAAGTGCAACCAGGCACAGGCAGCACGCTATGGATTTTCTTACGATTAGGACCGTAATGTCTTCGTCAGCATCGTCAATTTTCATGCCAGCACACTGATTTCTGTAAGGTGCTGCCAACCAGTTCTGAGCCTTTGCTGAGGATTGGGGGATCTGATGGCCCATCTTTATCAGAATTCAAATGGGGGCTTTTAAATTAGCTGAATGTACCCCATTGTCATAAAATAATAGCCACACCATTTGAAAAGCATTCTTTTCATTCTTTTTTCATTTTTTTCTGAGCAGAGGATGCAATTACAAATGTAATATCTGAAAGTAATGTTTTCGCTTCTCTTCCAGATTGAATTGTTATTCATTGCCACCATCTCTGTGGTGTCAGGACTTACTGTGCACGAAATGTTCTTTCAAATTCTGGAGCTCCAGTGACAGCCGGGGGCAAGACCTTGTGCTTCATTCTTGATTTTCCCACCAGCCGAGCAAAACGACCTGTAAGCAAAAATAAGGGCTTGTGGATTGCACGGTTCTTCTCATTTAGGAAGAACGGTTCAGTTGAGTCTCTAACACATTTTTTTTTTATTTTTTAAAGCAATCATTGTTCTTTGGCTTTTTTAATCAGACGGCTACTAGCTAAAACTGTTTTTTTCCCTGCGGAAGTTCAGGTCACGCCTTCAGGCGTGGCTTATTCTTGAGAAAGGGGAGAAAATGGCAAAACTGCTGTTCCAGAAATGTATTTTTCCCCTTTCTGTATTCACTGACACTATTTAGGAACCGAATAGCCGAGTCCTAGACCCGCACAGCCCAGGCCTACAGCAGCGGTGCTGCTGCAGCCCTACCTCAGCCCTACCACCACGTTGAGGTCAGGCAACACGGCGCTCAGCTGGACTCACAGCAGTTCATCTGTGTTGGTTCGCCTGTACTGCAGCACATGCTGGGAGTAAACCGAGCTGCAATGTTTTACATCAAATGAACAGCTCAGCTTGGGCTGGAGTTATCCTGACCCGCTGGTGATTTTAACTGGGTTTAGCTAATACGGATTAACCACCACAAGGAAGAACGTATGTATTTCCTCTTCCCCCTTTCAAGGTCTGAACAATTTGTGGAGTTTTCCAAAGGCACGAGGCTTCTGGTTAATGTGCTTTGGTTTGGCTTTAACCCTTCACGCTCCTGTGTCAAGCACAACTACAGCGTATCTCAAAGCAAATCATTACAAGCACTAAAAATGCTCCCACAGTCACCAACGGAACCACAGCAAGCACAGCAGAAGGGATGTCACAGACCGGCCCACCTCCTTGGTTCTCTGCACTGTGCCAGCAGCCGTGAAGCGCATATTTTAGATATTTAAGGTATTTTGCATATCTTAGAGAAATGCACTGAGGGGGACATGCTGCAGAATATCTCTATTATTGCTGCCTGGTATAAAGGTTCGCTTTCCTCTTTCCTTTCAGATACTGAAGCACGTGTCTGTCTATTTCAGGAAGCAGTGCTTTCAGTCCGGCATTGACGTACTCGATCTGACAAAGCAACTCTCCCTTTTTGAGGTTTCCAGTTGCGTAGCTGCATAAATAAGAATCGAAACCAAAACATGGTGCGGCTGTTAGGTAACTTCACAGATAGCTGCAAGCTCTCACAATAGCGTGATTCCAGCAAGCCCGCAAAGCAAACAGAATTGAAAAGAAATGCGTTTCTCCTAGAAGGAAAAGTAGCCTGTCCCACTGTGCCGGCTCCCTCCCGGGCTGCTGCACAGTGGGCAAACAGTGCTCTTCCGGGAGAAGTCTGATCAGTCACAAGAAGTTAAAGTTACAGGGCAGCCAGTTTGTTCTAAAATAATTTCCAGTGCTGCAGAACAGGAGGAAACCTCCCCGAACCCCAGCCCCACAGCCCCTAGGGAACTACCTTGCTGGAGGGCAGAAAGCAGAGACACGACAGCGAGCAGAGCTAAGTCACCAGCCATGTTCCCGGCAGCTCCCAGTGTGTGCAGTGTGCAAGTGGGGCAGGGAGCTCTAGAGAGCAATAAGGAACTCGATGGGTGGGGGAACTGCAGGGTGTTCCAGTATTGCGACAAAGGGCTGCCTTGGGAATTAAAATGTCTACCTTTCTGATATAAGTGCGAAGTTACAGCCGGTTTTTTTGCTCCCGAAAAGTTCAAATGCAGTCAGCCAGCTCTGCCTGCCTTTGCCTGTGTGAAAACACAGAGAGAACAAAACCAGCCCTGCCTGCCTCTGTGCATTCAGCTGTTCTTTTATGTCTTAGCCTTCAAGCTGTAATCTCTTTGGGGGTGAAGACTTTTTGTTCGCCATTTGCACGGGCCTGTGGCAGCGGGGTCTGCGTCCGTCGCTGGTAGTGCCGCTCTAAAGAAAGCAGCAGGTGCAGCAGGTGGGGAGGGGAGCTGGCTTTGTCCTGGCCCTGTGCTTGATTTCTGGGTTTTGCCCAACAGGTACAACTTAAGGCTGTTACAGATGACGCGAAGCCTCTCAACCTCAAATAGCTTGCATGCCACGAGGAGTTGTTTGGGGTAATTCGAAGGGTAAAACAACTGAGAAAGAAAGAAAAACTTCTCCTTGTTTTACCATCTGTTGTGCATTTCCCGTAGTTTGCGCCTCGGCCTAAGATTAGGAGAGATCCTCTCAAGGCTTTTTTGCCAGCTAGCTTTAACCATCAGGGAGCTCGGTGTTGTTAGCCTCTGCGATCCCAGAACCAGAACAAAACCAGCGTCGTGTTTCTTGTGACTCCAGGATCACCCATCTGCTTTGTTTCTGACTGACGTCGAGGGGGGTATTGCGTTGGCTTCAGTCCATCAGGCTAATTGCAATGGCTCAGGCAACAGCGCCTTTACATCATCTACCTTACCGTGCCAAATTTGATTTCTTGTGCGTTAATTCAGCACGTTGTTCTTTTTAAAGATTAGAACAGAAGATATGCTTAATAACAGCAGTTGGATGTTTGGACTTAGTAACTCTTAATTGCCGATTTATGCACTTCAACTACTGTTCCTGTGGTAGTTTGGGGTTGGCTTTCTGACAAGACGGTTTCTCTGTGTTTCTGGTCGGCTGAGAAGGGTTTAAAGCCCCGTCACCCTGCCCATATAGGGGAGTGATGGAAAATTGAGGCACGGAGCTGGTCACCGAGAAGTCTGGAAGATCAGCCTAAAAAGTTCAGCCCATAAGAGCTGACCGTTGTGAGGCTGGCTGAGGCTGAGGTTGTGCTTTCTTTCCGACTTCGTTCCAAGTATGTGACTTTCTAAATGAGAGCAGACATACGAAGTTCTGCTGCAGTTTGACCAGAAGGTAGGCAGCGATACAGTTTGGGCTATCAGGTTAAACCCCCAGTGTTCTTATCTTACGTGCCCATTCCGGCTGAGCTAGGGTGCTTTTAAAACAGCGTTCTCATTGCGCCGATAGCAAGAGGTTCGCAGCTGCCTATAGATCTGTATTGCTTTTGGCTGCCTGTAGTCCACAGACAATTGAAACTAGAGTTACGCTCCCTCCTGGTTACCATGTTACCCAGTAATAGAAAATCAGATCCTACACAAAACAAGGCTTTTAGGACAGGTTTATTTCTGATTGTGTAAGTACAGTAGCACCTCAAATGCGAAGAGCTTTTATGATGTGTCTAAGTCCTAATCAATGAATTGATGCCGGGATCAACTGAAAGGTTTCTCCAGTTTTGCTGGGACCTTACGGCAGCTTGTCTGTGGTTGATCTCTCAGCTCTTGAGGAACGCAGTTTGATTTTGTATTTCCTCCACTTGTTTCTATTTTATATGTACTTGGCTTATCTCTGCTGCTATAAGTGCATGTGTTTTTTCCGGCCGTCCACAGCCAAATAGTGAAAAGAGAGGCTCTGAACAGTGAAACATAATGTGAGGTCAGAGATACTGGTGGTGTCTTAGCAGACTTAGGTGGTATTTCACTACCATCAGTATTTCACTTCCACGCCACGCTTTCCCTTTGTGCTCTACAGGGCAAGTCAGCGATAGTTCTCCGTTGCCAATATAATCCGGAGCAGCGCATACCAAGGCACAGGGCAGGGAAAAGAGTGGCAAGTTTCAATGTGGCACGTTCAATATTGGAACAATGGCAGCTCAATATTGGAGCCGGAGATCCACGTAGCCACAGGATTTCTGGCACACTCCTGGTGTCTTGCTGACCCGTGCTTCCCTGGCAGACCTTCCCAAGGAGGCCGGCTCTTCTTCCTGCAGAGAAGCTGCCACTTCTCAGCAGCAAAGGCAGATCCCAGCAGGGTGGCAGAGCTGCTGTCACAAGAGAGCAGATGGTTGGGGTAGTGAGACCAAAGGCATTTTGAGCATGAAAACAGACAGATCAAATAAGCTCTTTTAATGGACTTACACTGACAAAGCTGCTTGGTTTTTGTCTCTTAAAGAGCTGAAAAGAGCTTTGCGAAGGGCAGGATTCAGTCCTAGCTGTAAAGGCCGGTCTCAACTGGTGGAGCAACATCTTTTATATTTAAACACCTCGTGGAGGCAGGCTGTGAAGGATGGAGAGGCTTCTGGAAGGGAGAGCATATCTGAACTCTCACATACTTCACTCGAAATGCTTATAGGGTAAATCAACTCTATTACAATGTACGAGGCTGGCCCATGAGTCAAAAGCAGTTTTGCTGCAGCAGTCAGTGAGCTCTGTAGTTAATTAATTTACTGTACCCTAAAACAACATTTAACAAAGAACGTGGGCCTGCGTGGCACTGAGCCATAGTCAGACTTCAAAATCATCGGAACTTTAAAACAGATGAAAGAGGAAAGCAAAATCTTTGTTTCTTCAAACGCTGCTAATGCTACTGTCATACGTGTACTTTGTGTGGGCCCTCAGAGAAGGGATGAGTGGTCCATTTGAAGGCCTGGCTGCCCAGAGTCCTCTGGTTTGCCCAGGCTATACCAAAGAGAGAAACAGATCCTCAGTTTCCACCCCTTCCTAAGGACGTCAGCTCAATGAGACCAGACTATTTTTGGTGGTTGTGGCAGAGCAGATTTAAAAGGATTAAATAAAGTAGTAGCCGAAGGTTCCGATTCTTCCCCAAGCTGTACCTTCTGCAGCCTTTTGTCACCTGCATCAATATTGTATATAAGTCAGGGAATAATTGGTTCACGGCGTTCCCGTCTGGGCGTACAAAAGATTGATGTGCTGTAAGTCCCATCAGTGCTAATGCGCGTTCTTATATGCACATAAATTCTTGCATGCCCACAGGCCTCTTGGATTTCTTTGAAGCCTTTGGGTAGGTATCATTACTTTTTTCTTTTTTTTTTTTTTTTTTCTTTCCTTTGGATATCACAAGAACATACGCAATTTTGGATTGGCTTAGAGCATGATATGATTTCACCCATGTTTATGAAAAATAAACCGTGCCGATCTTGCAATACATCCCATTGTGATCATACCAGGCTTTTTCAAAGTAGCAGCAAGAATAGGAGTCTAGATTGTGCAGAGTAACTTTGTGTAAGGGAGGAAGGTGTGGGGTTGTTTTTTGTTAAAATGATGGTTTTTTCCCCCCATTAAAATGTCTTCACCCGATCTCAGCTCCGAGTGCACTGCAGTGGCTTGGGAGAGACTGTCAGAAGGCTTGCAGGAAAATGGTGTGCACAAGCACATCTGCTCTGAGGTGTAAAGGCTGTGTGTACGTGGTGATTCACCACCTCCCACGTCTCAGTCGTGCTCCTCCTAACCCAAAAGTTTCCAGAACAAGCAGTACATCTCCTGGAAAGAGGCTCAGCCGGCCTCTTGCATTCGACAGTACAGGAAGAAATGCACGACACGAAGCTATTTCACCTTCTTTCCTTTGACTTGCCTCGTGCAATACTTGCTGTGTGCTGCAAAAGCTACCAGCCTGGAGACGGGCTGGCATTAAGGGGCTCGCGTTCACATGATGTTTGAGGGGAGACTTACGCAAAGCCACATTTCTTTTGTCAGCACATGCGATGATGCCTGAAGATTAGAAGCAGCTCTCCTAGATTCTGCACCCTATGGAAATCAGCGTGGCGCACGTTCAGCGGCTCATTCACAGACTAAAGCTGCCGAGGCCCAATACGATCATCTTGCCTGACTGCCTGTATAATACAAATTGGCAGCATTTCAACAATGAATTATAATAACTCATTAATAAGTGATGGGAGCTGAGAGTCAGCGGTGTTTCCAGGCACGAGAAGGCTTCCTGTAGCACACAGCCCTGCTGGTTCTGTGTACGGCATCTCCGGATTACAGCAGGCAGTCTTGGGAGAATTGAGGGCTGGTCTGCGAGATGCAGATCTTACGTGACTTATGTCTGGATCAAAAGGAGGTTTAAAGACTTTCCTGTTGCTATTGACCAATTGGAAGCAGATCCCAGGCCGGCGC